AAATTAAAATGATGTCTTGAGGAAAACGAGTAGTGGATCCCTCTAAATAAAGGCTTGTTTACTTAAAGTTTTGTTTATCCAAATAAACAAATAAACCACTTGTTTGCATGGAAATCTTTTAGCAAAAGAGCTAGAGTTGGTATTTATGGAGGGTTGCACAGTAGCTCTTTATGTTAGGATTCGGGTGCTTTGGATTTGCTTGATAATCTCCAGACATGTTTACATCTTTTTAAAGTAGAGGAACCACTTTCTTTTACCTTTCTTTCATTGCAGATTCCATGGAAATGTCTGTTACTCATTGGCCTGTTTTGTTTGTTTGTTTCTTTGGGGGAATGTTTTTTTTTTTATGTTGGGAGCTACTAAGGCCAGTTATATAGGGAAGGGGATCCAAATAGCTATTTTACTGCAGGTACAGCATTTCTTACATGAACAATTCCTATCCTTTGATTGGAATAATAATCTATAATATCAAATAGGCAAGTGGGAAGGAGAGAACAGAAGGCGGCTTGACAACGTCTGCTCTTTGTTTCTTTGTCCTCATTCTGGAGTTTTTGTTTTTGATTCTTTTTTCATTGGTAGACTGCACAGTTTCCAGTGGCCTTTTCGGGTTTCTTTTCTAGAAGGCTTGCAAATCTGACCGTGTTAATGGTTGCTTTCAGACACTAGGACAGCTTGGCAGGATTTTGCCCTTTTGTCTCTGCTGCTGATCATTTCAGTTGGAATTGGAGTGTGAGTTGATGGAAAGAAGTTTCCAGCTCATTTTTCAAATTAGGAACATGAGACCACGGTGTGTGGGTAAATGTTTAAAAACCAGCTCTCTGGGGGTGGGAGTCTTCGCTGATATCTGTGGTGTAGATACTCCCACCAGGGCTGATTTCAAGATACCAACAAGATGTTCCTGAATGCAGAGTTGGAAAGAAATGCACTGTAGCCAACCATTATGGAATCTGTCCACCACATACAAAAACCGTAACCCTGGAGTCATAGTAAAATGTAGTAAATAGCTATAAAGTGATGCGTTTTGAGTATTTATTACTTACGTTTTTAAAGAAAACTTATTAAATGTTTAGTTTAATTTTTAACAATGGCTTTGTTGAACAACAAGCTCTCAAAGCTCCTGGAAAGGTAACCACTGGTTTTAACACATCAACTGGGACCCAGAGAAGTCACGTCTCACTGAAGTGTCAATGAATGAATGAGTTGGCAGAACTGTTTCTAAAAACCAAGTTTCTCTAGGAAGATTGACTTATTAATATTTCTGCTTATTCATTTGTCATTTTTTTATTGCATGCTCTAATGATCTGTGAAAGGGGTTTAGGACTGTTACAGGCTGTTAATTATCTATTGAGACAATAACAGAATATCTGAATATAATTGTAATCAAGAATAAAAGTGTGGAAAGCAGATTCAATGTAGAACCATAAATAAATCCTGGCTTTGAGTCTTGGGCCTACTACTCAGCAGTGGTGTAACCTTATGTCACTTACATACTTCTCTGGCTCCAGTTTTAGTCTCCAAGATGAGAGGCCACATGAAAATCTAATATCTCATATCTGTCTAAAATATGATTCATTATTTAGACACATCAGTTCAACAAATATTTGCTGATACCAATTATGTACACATTTGTTATGGACTCGATTCCAGGTAGAATTAAATCCAATATAATAATAGTAATTATTATTATAACAGCACCTCACATTTACGCAGAGGCTTCTAATTTGTCAAAGAGAAAGTGTACTTTGAGTCTGGAGGTTCTATGGCTCTAGGAGACCAAGACAAATCCTCATAGAATGTTAGAGAAAGAAGAATGTATTCTAAAAGAACAAACAGAACCCTTATTCCTAGGAAACGCAAGAGGTCATAACCAGGTAGTAACAAGGAATAAGGAACGAGCATTTTTTTTTGCCATGTCTATCAGTTGCTTCACTTTATCTTAACAAAAGCAAAACCGAAAACTATTTTTTTCTAATTATAAGAGTAATTATTGTAGAAACTTTAGAAATTTTAAAGAAGTGTTAATTAAGGAAAAACTACCATATATCCAATATAATAGCCTGCTCTTCTTTACCTAATATTTTAGTATATTTTCCAAAATATTCTTGTTATTTTAATTGCTGTGTCTAATTCCATCTTTTTGGTGTACAACAATTTACTTATCTTAAATTGTTTACATTGTTGACAGTTTTTATTATTCTAAGGAACACTGGTAAATAGCTGTGTTTACAGAAAAACATTGTACTTTGGACATATGGTTTCCAACTGTAATATTTAAGGTTTAGTAAGACAATTTTAGTAAATCATACGCTTTTGACCTTTAGCTTGTTTAATTCTGCCGATGTTGCTTTGTATTTACTTAGATTTTATGTTTCCAAACATTAGGAGGAACAGTTTGCCTGAGTCCTTCAATATGAAATATTTGAATTGGAAATAGTATCAATGTTTTCATATTATTTCAAGTAGACATGATAAATTGTATGGTTAATTTTTTTTTCACTTTCTATGGGCAGTAGCTTCTAGTACAGGATTTTTTGTTTAGAAAGTACTCAATAAATGTTCAATACATTAAAAGATTCAGGCTAATTTGGGATAAGCAAAAACATTTGAGAAGAATTTAAGAAAAAAAAAACAACACTTCTCCATTCATGGTAATAGCTTTCATTTTCATGAGGAGAGATGACAGCCAAGCACAGTTCAGGAATTCTGATGGTTAAATGAGAATTATGAAATGATGTGTGTTGTTGCTTTAATTCACCGGCATGAGAAACCATGAGTCTAATAGTTATTTGATTAAATGTTAATGAGATCTACTAAATTGACCCAACTCTTACTTTTATGTATTAGATTTATGTCAGTTAAAACAAGATGAGTTTTACCTCTTTCCTTCTTTAACATCTTTGTGTCAACATCTGCTTACAAGGTAAGTGTTGTTACTACCCTGGTTATTTAAATATTAATGACTTCCATTAAAGGGAGCTGGAGGTTTGCAGCAGGAAGATGGAGAAATTAGATGGCCTGATTAGTTTCTTTCTGCCACCAGGAAAAAACAAAACCTCTTACTGGAAGAGCTTCTTCCAGTATTTTTTTAATTCCACAGATTTTTTTTTTCCTGAACCAATGAGAGAGTAAGATTCTTAATTTTAACGATTCCTTGAAAGTAGTTATGTTATTAAAACATCAGTGTAACAAGTTCATATAATTAAAAAAAAATATTTTATCAGCTCCATAGTGCTCACTAGTCTTGGGCTTCTTGGGACTAATTTCAGGTTTTAAATTCATTTTGTTCCTTATTGTAGTCACTAATAGTCAAAGCCATTTTTTAGCTGCAGATTGTATTTGGTTGGGCTTGTTTACATGAAATATGGGGAATTCTATTAAGTTAACCATGAAAGACTTGACAAGCATTGTATATTCGATCAAATTATAAATGTTTATCTTATTGGGGAAATGTGTCTAAAATTTGTTACAACCAGTATTTTCGTGTTATGCCAGCTTGGGTTATGATAAGCATGTGGTAATAGATTTTTACACATTTTGTGTTTTTAAGATGTTTTAATGGCATGGTATTTTAAAGCACTATTTTAAACAGTCCAAAGCAGGCATTATATTTGCATAATTGTATATTTCTTTTTACATCCAGAAACCTGAGTAAAGTATTTATTCATGTCACGTACTTTACTTAGACTTTAGAGCTAAGAATTTAGATCATGCTTAAATAGTAGTAGTGCAGAATAATAATAACACTGATGTCGGATCATAATACTTAGCATTAAGGATTAAGGTGAGTCAAGTGAGGCCCTTGCCCGGGGTAAAATTTAAGAGAGTGCCGAAAAACTCAATAATCATGATACATAGTATTTTAATGCGATGTTTGGGAAAAAATCAAAATTAATGCCAAAAAAAATCCATGATGAACAAAACATCAAAATTTTAGAAAAAGTTGCCAGCCAGCCCTGCCTGTACCCCTGACTCAACTCAACCTAGTCTTGGCCTTGACCGGGTTCTGCATGTCCTTGGATGAGACATTCCTTTGAGTGAAATTTTCCTTATCTAAAATTGGTGATAATCGTCTTTGATTTCCTGGTCGGGTTATTAAGATAGTCAGATCAGCTGAAAACACATGGGAAAGCCCATTGTAAATACAAATTACATGTTTATATACAAGTTTAGGGAAATCATCATATAATTTTAAGCCATTATTATTACCAGCTGAGATGAATACTCTAAGCAAACATCAGATTCGAAGGCCCTTAAAAAGCTGTGTTCATAAAGTTTGTGGTGTGGCTCTTGAGTTTATTTATCAGCTAGCTATAGGGGCAGGGACCTATAGATAGTTGTAGGACCTTCCTTTTCTTCCTTCTTTCTTTTTTGTTCTCGGATGCAAAATTTATGATTTGTAAGAGACAGAAGAGGTAAGTGGAAATCCATTTTGTTTATTTTAAATTTCTCTGCAAAGTGCCATGGACAAGTCTCACTTTTGCTCAAGCTGTTCTACCCCTCAGTGATGCCTCCCCCCTTTCTCCTGCCCATCTGGGCTCCACCCACGTTTACTCCCATCTGTGACCTTGGTAAGGCCTTCCTGGGTTCCCTCAGGCTGAGATGTGTTCTGAATCCTCCCTTCCTGTGGTAGGTAAGTGTCTCTACCACTCATCTGGTGATCAGTTACAGAGTCCTGTTGTCTTGAGGTTTTATCTAATCCTGCATTGAATTTGCTTTTCAGACCACAGTTTTAGAAATATGAATTGTTTTTCTAGTTAGATTATAAATGCTTGAATAGCGCCTCCTTCTCCCTTAGACTCATCACTTTGGGGTCAGCAGGGATTGGGTCTGTTTTATTCAGGTGGTATCCAAGGTGCTTATTAGCAAAGGGCTTTGACATACAATATACTTTTTTTTTTTTACAGTGTACCTATTTTTTGAATGAAATAAATGAATGTCTTGTATGTAAAAAGGCTGGGTAAATATTTATTCTTCGGATTCATTTGTTGTTTTCATTCTAGGACCAGAGAGAATGGTTGGTACCATGTGGAAGGCGACTGTTTTGGTGGCTGTATTCATGTTCAGCCCTGGTGGTGATGGGCTCTTTCCCTCCTTATACAAAAAAGCTCGGGTTTCTGTACCACGTAAGGGAGACGTAGGAGAGCCATTATTTCTTACTCCCTACATTGAAGCTGGGAGATTGGAAGAAGGTAAGTTTCATAAAATCAGAAAACCACTGGTATATTTTCAACAGGTTTTTTTTTTTTTTTTAAAGCAGTTATCTTACAGGATTCAAAATACATTCTGGTATTTTTACTCAGTTGTTTTATTTCAAATATTAATTGTTTGATGTCCTGTGTTATCCGAGTTTTAAGCTAAAATGAGAGCTTGCCAGGGACAGATTATCTAGAGGTGGAGCCCCTGCACTTCTGTTTATAAAACTAGCATAGTGCCTGTCCACAACTGGGCACTTAATAAAGAGAATACTAACCTTAGAACTTCATACATACCAGTTACTGGTTCCAAGGATTCTACATAAACTTAATGTAAGCATCTCCACAACCCAGGGAGATGTACCCACTTGACACACAAGAACACTAAAGCAGAAAAAGATTCAGTTACTTGCCAGAGTCACATGGACACCAGGTGGTAGATGCAGGATTGACACCCAGACAGCCTTACTCCTTAGTCTATGACCACAGGCACAGTGTTGGGCCCCTTTGCCTGGCAAGTTACCCGAACCTACCCAAACCTACCCAAACCTAGACCTCAGTTTCTTCATTAACAAGATGGGGATATAATCACTTAGTCAAGTTTCAGGGATGTTAAGACTCAGATGAGAAAATGCACATGAAGACTCTTTGTAACCTGTAAATTGCTCCCTAAATATTAGTGTTTGCAAGTGGCTTTTTATTTAGACATTGTGGGATTTTCTATTATTACTAATAGGAAAAAGGTATTACTTAGTATCATCAGAGACTAAAATTTATATGTCTCTGCTCTTAATGCTTCTTTATGTTTACGTAAATCACTGTGTAGACAAGTTACTTAATCCTTCCAGACATCAGTAGGCTCCTGAACTATAAAATAGTATATAGGCAGCTACTCTGAGGTGCTATTTGTAAAAGGAATCAGAGAAATGGGGTGGTGGCTGAAGGGTGCTATGGCATCAGGAAGGGTCTTTAAGAGGGTAAGAGACCATGTGTTTGCTGATAGAAATGATCCAGAAGAGGGGGGAGTTGATTGGGGTGGGGCAACTATTTCAGGAGTACTTGTTTTGTTTTGTTTTTTAAGATTTTATTTATTTATTTATCTGAGAGAGAGAGAGAGAGAGAGAGCGAGCGAGCAGGTGGAGGTGCAGAGGGAGAGGGACAAGCAGACTGTGCTGAGTGCAGAGCCCAACACAGGGCTCAATCCCATGACCCTGAGATCATGCATGACCTGAGCCGAAATCAAGAGTCAGACACTTAACCGACTGAACCACCCAGGTGCCCCAGGAGTACTTTCTTTAAGTAGATGATAGACATGGTGGCTGGCACATAGATGGGGGCGCTTGCTTTGAAGGACTGCAGTTTATCTCTAATCACAGGTGGGAAAACCGAGTTAATGGCTGTGAGGCTGGTAAATTGGTTGATGGCATGAGAATGTGTGGAAGTGATACTGGATATTTTAGGGAAATAATCATTTTAAAGATCAAAAATAAGTGTATGGACTCCATAAAGAAGTTTTAAAATAAAGCAACTTTTCTTCATTTGAAATATTCCCATAGCTAATAGGATAGCATCATTTTGTTTTGTTTTGTTTGCTTTAAAACCAACACATTCTTATATCTTAAGGGTGCATTTGAGTCCTGGTCACATGTCTTTTTCTGACATACATATTGACTCCGTGTCTCACTATCTCTTTTCTAAGAAAAGATGAAAAACATTGATAATGTAGTCAGTGTACATTAGTGTGCATTTGATGATGTAGTTAGAGAATGTAGTCAGTCCTTTTCTAAAAAAGATTCATTTTTTACTTGATGTGGAAAATGGTGCAGGCTCATATCCCTAGACAAATATGAAGAGGCAGAATATCATCCAAATCCACCAAAATGAATTGCATGCATTCATTTTGGCTTCTTTAATAAGTGGGTACTGATGACAGATTTTGTTCATTAAAAATAAATCGAAGCAAATCATTAAGTTTAGAGATGAAAAGGAATTCAGTACTCACAACCAACCCTACCAATCCATAGATGAGGAATTCAAGACTCCAATATCTTACATGACTTGCCCAAGGAAATGCAGGTAAGAATACCAGAGGTGCGTTTAGGACTCAAATTTTTTTTTTTTTATAAAGTATTTATTTATTTGACAGAGAGAGACACAGCGAGACAGGGAACACAAGCAGGGGGAGTGGGAGAGGGAGAGGCAGGCCTCCTGCCGAGGAAGAAGCCCGATGCGGGCTTGATCCCAGAACCCCGGGACCACGACCCAAGCCGAAGGCAGATGCCCAACAACTGAGCCACCCAGGCACTGCATAGGACTCAAATTTTCTGACTTCTTCTCTGTGATATGTCTGCTATAATTTATTTCCCTTTCTTTAAGACTCTTGTGCTCTTCTTTTTTTATAAGATTTTATTTATTTATTTGAGAGCGAGAGAGAGCACATGAGGGGTGGGGAGGGGCAGAGGGAGAGAGAGCTAAGCAGGGACCTGGATGTGGGACTCGATCCCAGGACCCCAGGATCATGACCTGAACCCAAGGCAGACACTTAACCGACTGAACCACCCAGGCGCCCCAAGACTCTTGTGCCCTTCTCATGTGACCAGGTGCACACACATGAAACAATTAAGGAATAAGGCAGTGAGTACTAAAAACATTAAAGTATTGCATTTGAGGTAGGCATGCTGGAAATTTTGAGAAGAAAACTATCCTATTGGTTGGTCCAGAAAACAATAATAGTGTAGTAGTCAAAATAGCAAATGGTTAATACTTAATAATTATATGCCCAGGACCAAGCATAGTTTCTTTTATTTTTTTTAAATATTTTATCCATCCATTTGACAGAAAGAGAAAGAGAGAGCAGAGAGCACAAGCAGGGGGAGCGGCAGGCAGAGGGAGAGGGAGAAGCAGGCTCCCCACTGAGCAGGGAGTCCAACTTGGGGCTCCATCCCAGGACCCTGGGATCACGACCTGAATGAAGGCAGATGCTTAACCGACTGGACCATCCAGGCTCCCCCCCTAGCATGATTTCTATATGTAATAGGTACTCAGTAAATACTTGTACAATTTAAGTTTTAAACCCAAGTATGTGCCAGACATGGGTGTTACCCACACCTTATCTTATTTAATCCTCAGAGCAGCCCTAGTGAAGAAGGCATACATATTGTTCCCATTTTACAGATGAGAAAACTGAGGCCCAGAAAAATTAAGTATCTTGGTCAGGGCCATTTACAGGTAATAAGTGACAGAGATGGAATTAAAACCTACGTCTGCTGACTCTAGAACCCGAGCTATGAGCCATGGCGCTGTGTGACTAGATCCAGACTGGAAGGCGCTGGGTGAGATTTGGGCAGATCAAGAAGGACATGTGTATACTGAGGAAAGCAGTTCCAACAGAGGCATTTGGTGAAAATGACCATGGTGGTGTGTCTGTATCATACATCTGGAAGAACCAAGTGAAAAGAATATGGAGAAGCCCATCCGAGAGATAGTCCACATCCTTCCCATTCCTGTATTTGTTGCCTACGAGCATTTCACCGTTGTGGTCATCAGTAGTAGCCGAGAAAGCTTCTGGGGGAGGTAGTTTTCATCTTCGGTCCTTCTGTGCCAAGTCTGATGGATCACCATCTGATGAGCGACAACATCCAAAATAGTAAATCCGATGTAAAGTCTCACTTTCTAAAGTTCTGTTACACAGTCAGAATTTTTGAATGGAATTTTAAGTGGCTGACCCAAAGTCTGGTACATCTGGGTATTCAAATGCAGCCCTGATAACATAATTAAGGATAATTTTATTCATCCGCTTTACTGAAAGTTCAGGAAACTCTGGACAGATGGTCAGTTCATTCTCCTAAGTTCCTTTTGTTTATTGAGTCTGTCAAAACCTTAGGAACGTGAGTCTTAGTATTGCAATGGAACATTCTTGAGATAAATAGTAATTCATAAAAAGACAAGGGAATTTTTTATTTTTTAATCTCCCAATTAGCTGGTTTAGTTTTGTGTAATTGTAATTGCATGTTTACTTTCTCTGCAGCTAGAGTAAACTCTTAAAACAAAATGAATAAAGGAGGCAAATTTTAAAATATTTACAGACACTGCCTTTTCACAAACTTCAAAGAATATTTTGATACTAGGTCTTTATTATTACTTACGGTCTGGCAGTGTCTTGTCTTGTACTGGAGTCTTTGTGAAGGTGATGTGCATCCTGATTAGCTGGTTCGAGTCCTTCTTTGGTCACACTCCAATCTTTTTCAAAGTGTTAATATCACGAACACTGGTGACCGCAGTAAATAATATGGAGGAAGTGAAATCACTTCAAAGAAAACCTTTTCCTTTATTTAACTGTTTTGAACATTTGTATTATGAGTCATGGTTCCAGGAAGTAAGAAACTCCTACATCTTGGGAGTTTATTTTCCACATTCCATTAATAGGTTCTAGAAGGATGAACCAAATATCTGAAAATATGAAGTATCATTTTAGTTGAAAGAACTTTTAATTATTTTACCGTGATTTCGTTAAAGGAAATTTAAAAATTGAAATGGGGTGAAACACTTTTTTGTGAGCCAGGGAAAAGTTCTTCTAAATTCTTAAGATCTCAGTAAGGCCTGCTTTCCTTGGAGGTTTTTGTAGAAATATGCTAATCCTAGTGCATTGTCAGTGTGATGGGTTTTAGTTTATTAATTCATTCATCCATTTGCTAATATTCATTAAAAGGTGTGTGTTGAATGTCTTTAAGTTCTTAAATCAGCATCCCCTTGGGTACAAAGATAAATAAGACAATTTCCCTGCTTTCCAGTAGCCCCTGATCTAGACGGGAAAGCAGGACATGTACCTGAGTAAGTAAAAGGTAGCAGACAAACATCTTTGGAACCCTCAGGAAAGGAGCGCTGAGAGAGCATCTGCGTCATTTCAGAGCAGGCCAGTGGGCCTTGTGCCGGGCTGGCCTCAGAGAGATAGACTGATTGGATCATCTCCCGTCTTCCATTCCCTTCCGCTCCTTTCTACTATAGATTTCCTTTTTCTCATTCTACTTCGACCTTTCTCATTTTTCTCTGTCTTCCTTCTCGAATCCTCTCCTGCTCACTTAGCTCTCTGCGAGTCACATCTCACTCATTCCCAACCCCTCCGTCTTCAGTTCTCTCGCCTCCTTTTTGGGGGTTCTCTGATCTGGAGAGGATTAATAGCTTGGAGGAAAATATGTCAAAAGTGTTTTAGGTACAAAATTCCAGTTAGAAGAGAAATTAAGTCCTGGGGATATGATAATATACAGCATGGTGATATAGTTAACAATACTGTATTGCATATTTGAAAGTCGATAAGAGAATAGATCTTAAAAGTTCTTGTTATAAGAAAAAGAATTGGAACTAGGTATGGTGATGGGTATTCACTAGACATTGTGGTGACCACTTCACAATATATACAAATATCGAATGGTTAGGTTATATATCTGAAACTAATATAATGTTACATATCCATTATATCTCAATTTTTAAATGGCAAAAGAAAGAAAGAAAGAGAAAAAGAAAAAGAAAAAATTTTGAAAGACCGCCCAGCCCTGGAGGGTGATTCTTCTTTGGTTTAATTGAGACCAAAGAAGGGTGGAGGAAAGCAAGGCTGCAGGGGGCAGCTGTATAGGCTGGGAGGAGGGCTGACGCATACCACCTTCCCCATACACTTCCCTTTTCCTTTTCTTAAAATGCTCCTCTCCCTTTCTTTTTTCTTTGCCTTTTTCTGGTGAGAAGACTAGGTCTCTTTGGGAAGAGCATGGGAAGAGCTAGAGAAGCTGGATTGAGTTATGCAATCTTCCCTGGGGGAACCGGACTAAGCCAGAAAAGCCAGAAAAAAGCAGTCTTCCAGACCGCAGGTGGGGTGGCCCTTGGGTTGGTGATAATCTTCTCTTTCCTTGCTGGCGCCCTCATTTTACGTGCAGCTTTCTTCATTTGATCCTCGAAGAAAGCCCAGGGTGGGGATGTGGGGGGGGACATCAGTGTCCACATTTTGCACAAAGAGAGACTCAGAGAGATAAAGCAACTTGTCAGGGAGCCTGGTCAGAATTGCAAACCGAGGTCTGCCTGATTCAGAAACCCATGTTCTTCCTGTTCTGCTAGCTTAGCAGGACCCTCTGGAAACTGCTGTTGAAACCCTGCCTTTGTCCTACCATCTCCTCTGCTCCCAGGTTCTCCTTGTTCCTAATGAGCAGGTGCATTTCACAGGTAACAATAGCTGTGCTCCCTACGAGCCAGCCTCTTTTCTAACGGTTGTGCATGTATGGACTCTTATTCTCATTGACCCATGAGGTCATCCACCTTCCAAGATGAGAAACTGAAGCACAGACAGGTGAAATGATGCCCAAAGGACCACAGGGCCAGTCAGTAGCAGCTCAAGGCTCAGCAAAGAATGAAGGAAAGGAAACAGTACTGTCCAGGTGAGAGTTTCCCTTCGAGGAGGCAGATTGATTTTTTAAAAGAGGAACTTGCAGCCCCAATGCCATAGTGTGCTGTTAAGTTTCACAAGCGACTCTGCGGGGGGGG